ACTTAACCTCTCAGCCCATAATGATCAAACACTGCCTGACAAGAGAGGACCTCTCCCTCGGCTGCAAGGAACAGTGTTGCACTCTCTTCTTATATGGATCCCTGAAATTAAAACCTTTTGCAAATATTTTAGAAACCATAATATATATACTTTTATATCTCATATAAAATATATTTTGCAAAACAAATCTCAACGATTGAAATCGGCTGTCGGCAGTCTTGGTTTCCATCAGAGAGAGTGCATCCCTGATCATTACCTTTGTTCGACAAAGGGGCTGATCCTGTCACTATGATCACCCACTCAGATGAATTCTCAGACTGTCCCAACATACCCAATTTTGACCCCCGCTAAAGATCTCACTGATTGGCATATCAAAGGTAGCCCAATCCGACACCTAGTGCAATATCATAATCGAGTCTAGGGGTCAGGTGTAACTTTCCAATTTTTCCCATCAATCTCCAAGGTACAGGGCAATACTGAAAATCTGGTTCGGTTCAAAGATTCAATCAATCCTACACTACATGTGCCTTGGGTCTCACCCTAGTGGCTGAGACAGGCCACCCCAACTGACTTGGTGGCACATCAGTGTCAGCCTTATCAGGATAGGTCTCCGCAGACCGACCCACTAGCTGTGAACATTCTAAACTAACACGAGTCTCTTTAAGTGTCTAGTTTAAGGGTATTGCACAGAAACACACCACAGGAACATGATTCAAATATGTACTTTATTCATTTACAATAAACCCATAATGTACATCATTCTGATTGAAGCTAAGGGCATACAAAAACTGTCTAACAAGTAGATGGTTCCTAATATTGTTGTGATAATCCCCGGCAACGACGCCAAAAACTTGATGCGTTTAGAAGACACTAGCAAGTGCACTAGCCGATAAAGTAATATAATGACGAGTAGAGTATTGTTCCCATGGGGATTTATCCAACAACTACTAGTACTGAATCAGCCTTTTGTTATCTGATAATCCGAAAGATTAAACAAAGAAAAACTTAACTCCTAATTAGAAAACTACCCTAAGTATTCTCGGATCAAACTACCTTTAATGATGAGAAGAATTACTACATGCAAATACTAGCAGAACCGGTTTAGCAATTAAATCATTAAGTTGTCCAACCGAAGAGAATTCAGTCATGGGTTGGCTAATTCCTAATTGTATGAGCAGCCTCTCTCGAGCACAACCCACTCTATCTATGAGCAACAATTCCTATATTACTATCAAGAATTTAATCGTCATGCATTAAGGACAAAGAATTCGAAGGAAATCAGTTATTGTTGAATGAATGCCAAACRAATCATGCATATTATCTCTAAGATACATTCAATCTGTTTTCATGATTAGTTGATCTGATTACCTAAACCCTTTCTCAAGCAATTCAAGTAATCCAAGAAATAAGAATAATTCGGCCAAAACTACTCTTATAATCGAAAACCCTAATCAAGAAATCCCAAGAATGAATCACAATCAATCGGATCTGCTTAAAATATTAATTGCATATTGGAATTAACATCCACCATGGTTCTAAGAAGAGAAAGAAGGAAAGATTCAACAAAGAAAAACCATGAAACCCTAATTGAATCTAGGTTACCGAATTTGCAGAATCAAAGAAGAAGACAACCTAAGATTTCTGCATCAATCTTCGATCTCCTCTTCAATTCGCATCCAGCAGCCTTCTCTCCTTCTCTAGCACTTCTCCTCTTTGATTTTGTCTTCAGGGGTCCGAACCCTAATTTCCTCTCTTTCTTTTCTTTTTATACTCTTCCTCTCTCCTTTTTCAATTCTCTAAAGTCAGCCGCCTTTTGGAGCCTCCCTTAGGGCTGCGTTGGGCTACTGTTGGGCCTCTCTCCTTGGTGGGCCGAAGTGTTCTCCCATAGGGTTTTGGCTGGGCCTTTCTTCTTGATGGGCCGAAGTGCTTCCCTTTCTACCATATCAACATGTCTTCACACTCTCTTCACCCTAGACTGTCCCAAACTCCTAGTTTCCTAAAATTCTGCTCAATTAGGGTAAAAACCATTGAAAATCATCATCGAAACCATGTATAAAGCAATAAAAATAATGTGTAGTCTGCGCACACATCTTGTTTCCTTCTCTAAAAACTAGTTCTACAGTTCCTATGATTGTAGCTGCAACTATTGCAGAAGTCCCCAAGTAGAGCGTCACTTCTCCGTCACTCAGTCTTCTAGTTATCTTGAACCCCTGTAGTGAGTTACATGCATGAGTTGAAGCCCCGGAGTCAATACACTAGGAAGTAGAAGTGACCAACAAATTGGTCTCTATCATAAAAGATTTGAAATTACCTTGCTTCTTAGTCTCCAGATATTGAGGACAATTCCTCTTCGAGTGGTCGGTCTGTTTGCAGAAGTCACAAGAATCCAATGCCTTATCTTTCTTCTGCTTTTTAGCTTTGCTATCCTCT